CAGGCCAATGTAAGGGTAAAAACTAACATACAATTTTTAAATATATATTTTTTTATTTGATTTGATTTTATGATCTTTTTTTCTGGAGTTAAATTTCTATACGTTAGAATACTGATTCTGTTATTGCACCTAACGGGAACAACATGGCTGATTATATGCTGTACGTTTGTAAGATAATATTTCCTTATTTACTTAATTAAGTGTTTAAGCAAATAATGACCAGATTAAAGTATCTACTATTTTTAATATCTGGAAATTGATGAAAAAAAAAACGGGCTTGAGGAAAGTTAATACAATTATATAGCTATATTGGTTAAACGTGGCTGTACTGTCAGAACGAAAAGCGAATAGGTAACCGATCTCGCTTTCCAATATTTATTTACGTGCACATTATTTGTTGGAGAAGATCAGTGCAATTATATTTCTATATGAGTTAAGATTTGACACACTGAAATAATCGGTATGAATAAAATATATGATTCGTTATGGAATTGTATCACAATAGCTAGCCCATCAAATATATGTCTTATGCGATAGGTGGTATGATGAGCTTTAGTCCCAATTCACTCTGGACCTTTTGAAATATTACTAATAATTTGACTAGATAGAGCCACACATCGAGTTCAAGTTTTGTGATTATATTTATGGCAGTAAACTTTGAATATGAGTAATTTTGGTTCATAAATATTTTTTTTTCATAACTCGACTACATTTGCTACATAACTACGAGCTATCGTCTTGACAAAACAATCACTGTGTGAATAGTATGATTTCAATCGTTGAAGTCGAACAAATGTTACACGATCATTAACAGACGCACAAACGAATTAAACATAAAAAATGGACATAAACTTTCACGGTTGTGTGTGGCACGATCATGACACACCTCTCTCGCTTTTTTTCACGTGCATATATCTACGTTTATTTTATATGTAGTGGAGCCACATTGCAGCTATGTTATGACTATAGCACGAATAGTTCAGCTCAAACGAGGAAGGATCACGATCTCACAGAATACCAGCGTAAATAGCAGTTTAATGCTAATATGTTTCGTATGGTGTGTATAGAGAATCGGAGACCCTTTTTACTGGAAACGAGGCATTCCTTCTTAGTCCTCAGGGGTGTAACATCTGAATTTTGAACCACAGCATCCACTTACCATCAGGTGGACTCTGTGCTCGTTTGTTACCCTTATTCCATAAAAAAATCATCATTAAAGGCCATTATAGGTGTAGCCTCTCCCATGCGTTCGATAAAACACGGTCTTGAGCTACCTGTTGGTTTTGCAGCGCTATTCCTTGTTGTCTATTAGTATTAAATAAATTGATGAAAAACTGCTGTGAATTACACACTAATTAAATTGTCCATTGTAATTTTATGTACTCGGTGGTGAAGGAAGACATCGTGAGAAAATCTGTCTAAGAAATAAAAATATTTCGAAGAACCATTATTGCAAAGTTCATAATATAGCCGTAGCATGGCTCTACCACGTAAGTCAACAATCGCAGTTACTCTGAAAACCAAGATTTTTAGTATAAATGTACCGGTCTCTCGTGTGCTTGAAAGTTCTTTATTTACACCTATTTTTACTGCTTCTCGCCGAATGCTATAAAACCTGTTACTTACTGTTACTATTAACTTAGCAGTAAATAACTATTACAGCACACGAATCAAATATGTACTGGAAAACGTCGCGTTCAATCAACGGTAATAAAATGGATTACGTTACCGTTCCGCTGCTTTATTTATGTTTTCGTTGCATTTCCTAGTTTGTGTTGTAGTTTTAATGCGTATAATGTTCTTATTTATAAAAAAAAACACCATCAAAAAATACGAAGAATATTAAACTCATTATTTTCTGCCAATGTTATAGTGAGTCTTCAGATACAATTATATAACCTTTTGCGTGGCTGAATAAGTCAGATGGTGTTTATACTGGCAACATTACTCCATCGAAAAGTGGCATTTGATTTTGTAAGCTATCACTTATGACATACGGCCCGTTACAATTAACTTTTTTTTTTTTTCACTATTTGTTTTTTTTTTTAAATATTACTACAAACTTATTATTATGCATGTGACCCTCATTGCTGCTTTTATTATTAATGATTTATCTCGACCGTAAAAACACATCGCGGGCAGGGGCTACGGATTGCCTTTTGTAACGATCCTGACAGACCTTTTTCGCGTCTTAAACTTCATGTACTTACGAAAAGATGGTCTTAATTTCGCTCATCTTTAAAATTTATCGGTTAAATTCTGTTGAAACAATTTATTTGTAGGCCATACAAATACGCGTCGTAATTCGTTGCCAAGCTACTGCGCCAAAGAGCCACCAAATTTGAATAATCTAAATAAACTTAAGTGGGAATTTTGACTTAAATTTAAATGTAATGTATTACTTATTTAATGCAATAACCTTTGGTATATGTGAGATATGCAAGCTCAGACTGCATGCAACGGGTCCTTTTGATATTCTTATGTTTTATCTCTCAAGTCAGAAAATTTGGCGTCTGGAATACAAATGCTAAGTTTATGCAAATGTTGGCTGAACATATGTATGAATTTTAAGGATAAATTCAAACAAAGCGTTATCTCCCTAAAATATAATTTGTCAAACATTATATTCCACTAGACACATTTTTGTATGACAACCTTAAAAAACAGCTTCATATTGACAAACTAATTGGCATCATCTTACATTAATATAGCCTTTTTTTTTCAATATCGTCAAATCAACTATTTGTCGCCTTCACTTTAATCATGCTTATACTCCAGTACGCTTAAGTTAACTTAAGATTAGGGATGGCGCAATCTGGTATTGTTTAAAGAGATGTGGGAGCAAACGAGCATGCGGCTCTTCTCATGGTATGTGAATTGCAGTACAATGTCGAATTTGTGCTAGACGAGCCAATTGTCTATTTCCAGTGTCGTAATCTTTCAAATTCTTTCTGCCCGATTAAAATTACACGCTGTAAAATTATTAATAAATTTTTCTGACTGTAGATAATAATATTAACTCAACTGGGACCGGACCATCATCACAGACATGGCTATACTTGCGAATAAGCCTGATATTGTGCTGAGGGACCGGGCACATTCAAGGATATTTTTTAGTCGACATTACCGTTCCTTATGAGGAGAAACTCGTGAAAGCCGAAATATATAACTAGACAAAATATCTCGACCTGTTCACGAGGTGACCGACATGTGGGGTGGTCTAATTATTTCTGTGGTCATTTCTGCGAACGGGCTAATCCCGGTCAGCCTCTCGGGTCATCTGAGGCGAATGGGACTCCGTAACTGATCGCTCTAAGCTCAAATGCAGAAGGCGGTGCTCCTCGATACCGCCCGCATCGTCCGCCGGATTATTTCCCTTTCCCCATAACTCTAGGCCGTTTTGTCTCCCATCTCGAGGGCTTCCATCTGGTTGGCTTTCTATTTATTTACGTATTACGTAAAAATGAGAAAACGATTCGAATTCTCCAAAATAATAGAATAGAATAGAATAGAATATTTTTTATTTAATATCGATTATTACATAATTCTTATTGAAAGTCATTTTTTATGTACCACTGGTTCGGAAAATACCTCTGTCCTGGGAAGAAACCCAGCGGGACCTTTTTTTTCAAACATATTTCACTTAACAATAATTTCGTTTATACAATTTTTAAATGATTTTTCGTAGAACCAGCATGGTGGCGATCACCTTATTCCCAGGGGTTATTTTCATTCATGTATTCCTTGATATTATAATAACCCTTTTTGTACAGTTTTTCTTTAATAAAACTTTTAAACTTGTTTATTGACAAACTTTGAATATGTTCTGGAATTTTGTTGTAAAAGCGTATACATTGCCCCATAAATGAATTACTGATTCTGTGGAGTCTAGTAACTGGTATTACAAGCTTATGTTTGTTCCTAGTGTTTAATCTATGCTCATCCTTATTCTTATTAAAGCTATTTATGTTTTTATATACATACATTACATTTTCATAAATATATTGCGATGCCAAAGTTAATATGTTTATTTCTTTAAATTTTAGTCTGAGGGACTCTTTACAATTTAGGTTGTAAATCGCCCGTACGGCTCTCTTTTGCAAAACAAATATAGCTTCAATATCACTACTATACTAATAATATATATTTATATTCACACCGTACAAAGTCCTTAAACAATAAATACAATATTTTCACTTAATCTACACAGCAGTATTTCAGATGACGCTTACAATAGGAAAACCTGAGCTGTAAAAGTCAGTACTATACTCTTCCAGTGTCACAATATACAAAAATTACACAATAATAACAATGAAGCTCGTGAAAGTATATACTCGTATATTCTCTGTAACGTTTTAAAATAAGAGCAGTAATATCATCTACTCCAGCTCAACAATTAGAAACAAGAGAGAAAATATCTTCTTCGACTTCCTTATGATCGGTTTTTAAAAGAACGTATTAATTTGAGTTAGAATTTAAGTTAGTAGGGTTTATAGCGGGATGGTGTGTGTGGTAGAATGTGTATGGGTCACAGTCTGGTAAAAATTAATTAAGTCCAAACGTACACAGTAAAGTTAACATTTATTCACTATAGACAGTTACACAAAATATAGATAGTTCCACACGACACAATATACAAATTAATAGCTATACAAAATTGAAGGAGTAGAACGCGATAGTATAAAGAAAAACTATAAAAGCTAGTATTCGCGATAAAATAACGGGACACTCGGTTAGCCAGGTGACATGCGCTTCGCGTGTGAGGTCGGTAAGCAGACTGGCAAACGCGGTGCGAGGCGTTGAATGCGCCCGCGCAAGGAACTTCGTTCTAACGGTATATGTATCGTTGTTTAGCGCGTTTCCATTGCACAACAAGGCGAGTGTAAATAATTTAGTAAATATATATAAAATAAATTATAAGTGTATAATATATATATACATATATATGTACGTATAATATACAATAAGTACGCTACATCACTCCCCCTCAGAGACCGTCACTACGGGTGATAAAAATCTGGAAATCGAACTGTGCGACCTGAACGCGTCCTTCTGACGTCATCCTGAGCTGGAGTATTAATCTCTTTGGGACATTGATCAAGGAAGGAACCGAAATTGGGGTCGGATGTGAGAGTGGGATTAGGGATAGGGTTGGAAGCTGGGTCAATCAGCATGTAGGCCGGTTTTAGACGGTCTATGGATACCGTGACGCTTTTACCCTTTATTAATATTTTGAATGTTTTCGCATTACGCTCTAATACTTGGTACGGACCAGTGTAAGGGGGCTGCAATGAGCCACGTAATGCATTGTCCCTTAAAAATACATGACTTGACGCAAATAAGTCCTTGTGTATAAAAATCTTTAATTTATTGTGACGCGCAGCAGGTGAGGGTTGCAGCTTTGATGTTATTTGCCGCAGTTGGGTGGTAAAGTCCGATATATCTATTGAGCCGGGAGCTGCGGCTTGGAAGAATTCGCCTGGTAAACGTAAAGGCTCGCCATAAACTAATTCGGCCGATGATGTTCGAAGGTCCTCCTTAAATGAGCTCCTAATGCTCAATAGTATCAGAGGCAACGTGTCTACCCAATTGCTATCAGCGTGGCACATTATGGCTGCCTTTAACTGACGGTGGAATCGTTCCACTAGGCCGTTGCAAGATGGATGATACGCGGTTGTTCTACGATGCTTGAATCCAATCATCTTTCCAAGGTACTGGAAAAGTGACGATTCAAACTGTCGACCACGATCAGTGACAATATCGGTTGGGCATCCAAATCTGGATATCCACGATATAAATGCCTTTCCAACTGTCTCGGCTGTTATGTCTGCCATTGGTATTACTTCGGGCCATCGTGTGAAACGATCCACCGCAGTCAAGCAATAGCGGTACCCCTGAGAAACAGGGAGGGCGCCAATAATATCCACGTGAACGAAAGTAAATCGGGCGCGGGGTAAATCAAACGTGCCTAATGGTGACGAAATGTGACGATGAACCTTAGCGCGCTGACACGCCAAGCATTGTCGAGACCACTCACGACAGTCTTTACGAACGCCAGGCCAGACAAACCGCTCTGCTACTAATTTAGCACTAGCATTGGCGCCTGGATGGCTTAAGCTGTGAAGACTGTCAAAGAGTTGTCTCCTCAACGGCTTGGTAACAAAAGGCCTAGGTGTAGACTTGCTGACGTCACAATAAAGTTGCAGTTGAGAGTTTGGAATTCTCAACTTTTCCAGGCGGAGTGAAGATTCACCTCCCAGCAGTTGAGTCAGCTCTCGATCAGATGCTTGAGACGAAGCAAGCACGTCTAAGTCGATAGGTATCTGCAGTTCTTCGACACGTGACAGTGGGTCAGCGACGACATTGTCTTTTCCCGATATATGTCTAATGTCGGTCGTAAACTGCGAGATATAATCAAGGTGACGATATTGCTGAGGCGATCAATTAGCTTTCCTTTCGTTGAAAGCATAACTGAGCGGCTTATGGTCGGTAAACACCACGAAATGTCTAGCCTCTAGCATATGACGAAAGTATTTGATGCTTTCGTATATTGCTAAGAGCTCGCGGTCGTAAGGCGAATATTTTTGTTGAGAGGGACTCAACTTCCGCGAGAAGAATGCTAACGGTTGCCATTCTCCACATTTTAATTGCTGCAAAACTGCACCCATTGCCAGGTCGGACGCGTCTGTTACTAGCGCCAGTTCCGCCCGACAATCCGGGTGTGCGAGGAATGCAGCATCAGCAAGGCTTTGCTTGCACCTGTTAAAGGCTAAAAGTGCGTCACCAGTCAGAATCACTGGATGAGACGCCTTAACAGAGCCGGCAAGAAGTGCATTCAAAGGGGCTTGAATTGAAGCTGACTGAGGTAGGAAGCGTCTGTAAAAATTGAGCATTCCTAGGAATCGTCTAAGATGCCTTACCGTTTTAGGCACGGGAAAGTTCTTTATGGCTTCGACCTTGGATTCATGAGGTTTGCTGCCAGATGCAGAAATTTGATAACCTAAAAATGTTACCTCGTTTGCGCCGAAGACGCATTTCGATGTGTTGACAAGAACGTCATAATCCTTCATGCGAGTGAAAAGTTGATGAAGGTGGGCTTCGTGTTCTGTTTCGTCCTTGGAGAAGACCAAAAAATCATCCAAGTAGGCATAACAAAACTCAAGACCTCGCGTCATCTCGTCAACAAATCTCTGGAAGGCTTGGCTCCCGTTCCTCAGGCCGAAGTTCATAAAGGGAAATTCAAACAACCCAAAGGGTGTAGTAATAGCGGTCTTTTAGATCCCTAGATAGATAGATGAGACCCTCCAGATCAGAAGGTTGCGTGTTCAGATCACGTCGGGGTCACCAGTTATAGCGGGATGGTGTGTGTGGTAGAATGTGTATGGGTCACAGTCTGATAAAAATTAATTAAGTCCAAACGTACACAGTAAAGTTAACATTTATTCACTATAGACAGTTACACAAAATATAGATAGTTCCACACGACACAATATACAAATTAATAGCTATACAAAATTGAAGGAGTAGAACGCGATAGTATAAAACAAAACTATAAAAGCTAGTATTCGCGATAAAATAACGGGACACTCGGTTAGCCAGGTGACATGCGCTTCGCGTGTGAGGTCGGTAAGCAGACTGGCAAACGCGGTGCGAGGCGTTGAATGCGCCCGCGCAAGGGACTTCGTTCTAACGGTATATGTATCGTTGTTTAGCGCGTTTCCATTGCACAACAAGGCGAGTGTAAATAATTTAGTAAATATATATAAAATAAATTATAAGTGTATAATATATATATATATGTACGTATAATATACAATAAGTACGCTACAGGTTAATTTTACTCTGATTATTATTTATATTCACTTTATTTACTATATTTTTGCCTACACCAACAAAATATGAGTTTAGATTTGCTAGCAATTTTAATGGGTTACTTTCAACGGCTAACAAGTCCGAGGCTGCTTTTTGTCATTGTTTGTATACGATATTTCTTGTGTTACTTCCAACAGGCGCTTTTTGTTTCTTCCAGCTTGGATTAGTTCGTTTCTTTCACATTTTTTATAAGATTTTTTAACAAATTATTACAAAATTTGCGAAACCTTTTGATTTTTTTTTCAAAACTTCATTTTTCATTGAGTGTTTAAAATTTTTATGCATACGATTTCTGTTACGCATATATCATAACAACACCTGCGTAATCCACGGATTTTTTATTTGCAAACGATGCGGTACAGAAACAATGCTGGTATTGCCTTTTATAGCTCTTCCTAATGACCTAACAAAATAGTTCATAGTAGCTTCAGGGTCAGTTAGATAGTATACTTCCGAAAAATCTAGTAAAATTTTATCTTTATTCAGAGTAACGGTTTTAACGGTGGTAGAGCCACGCAGCAGTTTTTGCTGTTGCATGTATGGGCCGGCTCGAGCCGGGTTGGTACCACGACCTCACAGAATACCGGCGTGAAGTAGAAGCTCTGCTTCTGCGTTACGTCTGGTGAGTGCAGGTGGCCGGAGGCCCAATTCCCCCCCCCCCCATCAACATGGTAGCGGAATTACACGATGAACTACCCCAGGAGGGTACCAGTACCCCTGGAGAATCCCTCGCTGAGCATCCACGACCATGTTATTCCGATCCTGAGCGTGGGTGCTCAGGCTGCCCCGCGTATTCTGGGGGGGGCAAAATTCCGCTCAAAAGCATAACTGCTAGGGGCAAACTGAGCAACCAAGGCGACCCCTGCCACGCTATCCGTGAATTTCTGCAACATCAGGGGACTTCACTCTAACCTAAACGCCGTCCACTACCATCTCGAGACGGCGAAGCCGGCCTTGCTCTTTCTGACCGAGACGCAGGTTTCCTCTCCGGCTGATATTTCGTATCTCTCCTACCCGGGTACAAATTGGAGCATTCCTTTGTGCCTCGGGCTGGAGTTTGCGTGTATGTCAGAGAGGACATCTGTTCTCGACGCCTCGGCAGTCTTGAAGGTTCGGACCTGTCCATCCTTTGGCTACGCGTAGACAGCGACGACCATCCGCGCGTCTACGGGTGCCTCTATAGGTCCCATAGCGGTAATGCCGAAACAGACCGACTCATCGACCACGTCCAAATGGCTACAGATTCCTTGCTACAACAGGTCCCATCCGCAGAGATCGTGATCCTTGGCGATTTTAACGCCCACCATGCCGAATGGCTCGGTTCACGTCTAACCGATCATGCGGGGAGATCTGTTTATGACTTTGCCTTGGCATATGGTCTGCCACTGCTGGTTACTTCGCCTACGCGGATTCCAGATGTGGAGGATCATACACCTTCCCTGTTGGACCTTCTGCTGACCTCTCATCCGGACGGATATCAGGTTTCCGTCGATGCCCCTCTCGGCTCTTCGGACCATTGTCTGATCCGGAGTTTGTTGCCACTCACGCTCCCTTCGCGGTTGCGTTCTGCAGGTTGCCGCCGTGTTTGGCATTACAGGTCGGCGGATTGGGACGGAATGCGGTCTTTCTTTGCATCCTACCCATGGGGGCGGGTTTGCTTCTCGCCGGACGATCCCAGCGCTGTTGCTGACTCTGTCACTGATGTGGTGCTACAGGGAATGGAACAATTTATTCCATCATCTGTGGTACCCATCGGAGGCAGATCTCAGCCTTGGTTTGGTCGCTCCTGTAAGACTGCATTACGCAGTAAGCAGGAGTGCTATCAAGGCTGGGCTGCGGCTTCGGCGACTCGGGATGTAAACACCAGCACACTTAAAAAGAAGTATAACTTTGCCTCCAGGTCCTTCAAAAGAGTTATTGCCAAGGTAAAGTCAGAGCACATAGGCAGAATTGGCGAGAAACTAGTTCGCCTTCCTTCGGGAACCCGTGCATTCTGGTCTCTCGCCAAGGCTGTCCAAGGGAATTTCTGTAAGCCATCACTACCATCTCTGCACAGGGAGGATGACTCACTGGCCCATGACGCAAAAGACAAAGCCGACCTTTTAGGCTCCCTTTTTGCGTCCAACTCGACTCTTGATGACGGGGGTAAAACACCGCCGACCATCCCGTGGTGTGAATGCTCCATGCCGGATGTGATTTTCTCACAGCGCTCGGTTCGCAAAGCACTGCTCTCCCTGGACATCCAGAAGTCGAGTGGGCCTGACGGAATCCCCCCAATTGTGCTGAGGACGTGTGCTCCGGAGTTGGCACCGGTCCTAACGCGTCTTTTCCGGTACTCCTACTCCCAAGGCGTAGTCCCGAATTCATGGAAGACAGCTTTTGTCCACCCGATCCCTAAAAAAGGCGACCGCTCAGACCCATCCAACTATAGGCCTATCGCGATCACCTCTTTGTTCTCCAAAATAATGGAATCCATTATTAACTGCCAGCTCATCCGGTACCTTGAGGATCACCAGCTGATTAGTGACCGCCAATACGGTTTTCGTCGGGGTCGATCAGCTGGTGATCTTCTGGTCTACCTGACCCATAGATGGGCGGAGGCAGTAGAGTCCAAGGGGGAGGCGTTGGCCGTTAGTCTGGACATTGTGAAGGCCTTCGATCGGGTTTGGCACAAAGCGCTTCTTTCGAAGCTCCCTTCATATGGGCTTCCCGAGAAATTGTGCAATTGGATCACCAGCTTCCTTGCAGATCGGAGCATCAAGGTCGTTGTAGACGGTGCATGCTCTGACTACAAGCCCATTAACGATGGTGTTCCACAAGGCTGTGTGCTTATCACCAACGCTGTTTCTTCTGCATATCAATGATATGTTGCTAACTGGTAACATTCATTGCTATGCGGATGATAGCACTGGTGATGCTCTATACACCGGCCGTGCCAATATTTCTCGGGAAAACGTCGCTGAGTACCGGAACAAACTTGTGTCTGAAGTCGAGTCTTTGCTGAGCAAAGTCTCGGATTGGGGGCGACTAAATCTAGTCCAGTTTAATCCTCAGAAGACACAAGTTTGCGCGTTTACCGCTAAAAAGAACCCCTTTGTCGTATCTCCTCAGTTTCAAGGCACTCCCCTTCTTGCCTTAGCCAGTATCGGTATCCTCGGAGTCTACATATCGAGTGACGTGCAGTTTCGTGGTCACTTGGAAGGGAAGGCCAAACTGGCCTCTAAAAAGCTTGGCGTGCTCAGCAGAGCGGGACAGTATTTCATGCCGGCACACCGCCTGCAACTTTACAAGGCGCAAGTTCGGCCTCACATGGAATACTGTTCCCATCTCTGGGCAGGGGCTCCCCAGTGCCAGCTCCTTCCACTTGACCGCATCCAACGCAGAGCTGCGCGAATCGTCGACGACCGAGCCCTTTCCGATCGGCTCGATTCATTGGCACTGCGAAGAGATGTTGCAT